TTATATAATTTGCTAAATGATCATAAATATGTATATGGAATAAAATCAGTGCATTAGACTTATAGAGTCAAACGTTTTTATTAATCGTTTTCTTGCATAAAAATGTGTTGAATTGAATTTTATTGTACGTTTATTTTAGGCATTTTAGATTTTGCACACTTAGGCTCATTTGTTGATTCGTATATTTAATCAGAGGAAGGGTAATTGGAAATATCACTTCATCTTTATAATATGTAGCTAATAATACGTCGCGCGCGTTCCTTCCATTAAACGTGGCGTTATTGCAGTAATTCATCACGCCGATCATGAACGCAGGCTTATTTCCATCTGGCTTCTTTCAAGAGCGATGACTTTCAGTAAACAAGTGCACAATCGATCACTGCAGAGCATTAAGGGCCCTAATCGGGCCAGCAGGAGCTCTGTGGGGTGGATCTTCGACTGGACTGTAATGGTTTGTTATGACCTTTCCGCGTTTCCATTAGTCTCGCTGTTATTTAACATGGAGCTTTTGATTTAACCCCGCGTATATTGGCCAAGAGGAGTAACTGGATTCCTTTACAAACAAAAGGCCAAAGACACTTCAGTCTGCGCTGCTCATGTAAACTCAAGGGTTTTAAGGGGCATCTTAAGCCTATTAGCATCGACGATAATAAAAATCTACTGACAGCCTTATCGTTGCACTATCATAACTGCTTTGCTTGATTTAGAGTAAATATTGTGCGTTCATTTCATTGATATCATTAAATTGTATCATAGTGGACATCCTGCTCTACTGGCATGGGTTAAAAAACCATTAGGCGTTTTAATAAAGAGCAGATTGTAGTTATTGTGTCTCTAAAATGTCTGTTTTGTCTTCGCTTTGTGTCTAGAAAAACATCCTCACTGAAGCAGAATGAGCATCATTTTCCTTCCTAAATGCATTTATATTCATTATATAGTACATGCACGTGAGGAAATGTAAAGAAAAAATATAGCCTATATGTTTATATTACTATAAAGAGATATATTTTTTACGGCGCTCTTATCCTATTAAATAGGCCTATCGCTAACTCTATGTCGCGTTTGCGTGAAAGGCCGTGTGTGGAAACGCATATATGAGGAAGAAAAAAATATAAGCCTATATATAGCCTTTATATAGCTATATTAATAAATATGGAGAGAGAAAAATGTAGGCTATACGGCACTTTTATTCAGAGAGCAGTGAATATCACTAACACGAAATTCGCGAAATCGCGTTTGCGTGAAACCGGAGGCCGTTTGAGCGCTTTTATATTAGCCTATTTATAGGCCTATTAAAGAAAAAAAAGTAGGCTATTGGACATGTACATGATTTTTTAAAACATTAAGATTTTAAATATTTTTAGTTGATGTTTCGCTAACTCACAAAAATGATTCGCGAGACGAAATTTAAAGTCACTAAAGTAGCTAGCCTATTCGCTCGCACACTGCTCAAGTATTAGTAGGCTGGACTTGGTTAAACTATGTATAAAAAATCAAATAGGCCTACTTATGGTTTTGATAAGGTGCTATAACACCTGTTGACCATCATTAAAGATCAACTACGTCATTCGCGATCTTCTATGACACTCAATGAATTTCCTTAATAAAGCGTTTAGGACTGTATTTGCACGACCTTTCCTTTTCTGAAATGTAGGCTATATATGAAACATTATCCGGTGAACAGAAATTAGTTTGTGATAGTTGACTTCTAGCCTATATTTTTATGCGCTGCTTCACTAATATTATAGGCTACCGAATGATTTCCATTCTGTCAAGGGTGCGTTTAAAAAAGCAATTAATAATCCGTGACAAATGTTTCCCGAGGCTGTCAAATCCCCCAAATGAACCGCAGAGAGCTGGCTAGATCGCCATTGAACTCTCAGGACAGTGATTGCATCAACCAGGGGGAATTTGGGAAAAACAAACCAATTCCACAAGGTCCCCAAACTTTCCCAGGATCGGCATTTAACGATTATGATATTTTACTAATGTCTTAATGTTTCCGGCATGACGGGCCCTGTCACTGCTGACAGACAGATGCTCCTGATGGGGGGTCCAGAAATAAAGTCATTCCCAAAAGACCAGTATATGATGTTATCAGGAAGAAAGTTCCTATTCCCAGATCAAATCACTAAAGTGATTAAGGCAAGTAGCCGATAATGTTTTATCTAACCACGACAGACGTGCAGAGAAATGTTACAGCGATGAGAACGGGATGATTTCTGGTGTTGAATCGCTGGTTTAAATGACTACAGCAGATGACTGTGTGCTTTCAACACGGATATATTTATCACAATACAGGCGTAGATATAGATAGGAATGCAGATATGGATATGGACAATAAAGATATCCGGAAGCTCTGGGTTGAACCTGTTTTCTTCCGTATAGACCGAAACTTTCATCCTGAATCTCTTGACCCGAGCACGATATTATTTCATTTATATTAAACTCAATTTGCAGTTTTTTGTTTACAGAACTAATATAGCCACTCGTATTTTTTTTAGAAAGCTTTAAAAAAAAAAAAGGGGGGGAAGCAAATATGTCTAATAAATTACATTCTGCAAATTTTATAAAAGTTAAGAATTAATCTCAAAGAATCATACACTCAAAAAATGTTAGCCTTTTTTCAAGATTTACGCAATTCAATTAATAGTAAAATTCCATCTAATTGTATTGAATACTTAAATATTATGAATGAATAATTTTAAAGGAGTAAAAAAATGAACTTATTAAAACATTTTGTATAAATCTTAATTGAAACAAGGGAATGGACCATGTTATGTCATTCGTATTCACAAATAAAATAAACATCATAAAATTTGTTTACATTTAAGTTTAAGATTTATACAAAATGTTTTAAGATCGTTATTTTTTTACACATGTAAATTTGTAATTCTTAATATGAATAATATGTAGCCTAAGGATTATTCAATTCAATTTGATGGAATTTTACTATTAATTAAAATGCGTAAATCTTGGGGGGGGAAAGCGTGTATAATTTTCTTTTCAAAATACAAAAACAGAAAATGCTATTGCAAGTACAATAAATGTACATTATGATCTAAAAAAATTAAGGATTTTAGATTAATTTTAATGTTAAAAACATTCAATTTCGAAAAACAAATGCTTCTCTCAGAACATGCATCTTCAACCCTTTTTAGTCTTTTAAGAAAAATAATGTTTGAATTAAATTATGCATAAATACTAAATATTATTAGTCGTGGTTTAGTAAAATTAGGCTACATTTGAAATGTGATTCTGATTTTCTGCTACTCTTGGTTAGATTGCATAAGCGTTGGTTGAGTGATACAGTAGGTGAGAAGATGCCCGCTCAGGTTTTATGATCTCGCTCGTGACTCTCAGGGTTCAAGACGCCGGCACCTGAAATAACGCGCGCGTTCACACGCATGCGGCGCGTCTTCCGCATCCTCTTCCCTGGATTGTTTTGACTGCTTGATCGAGAGCAAAGCGCTACATTTCATCTCTAAATTTAAACCGGAATGGAGTCATTCGAAAACACCGTGATAGGAGGCAGTCGGGGTCATCGACCTTTCCGGGATCATGAACAACACCAGAGGGAGAGAGATATTCTAACATTACAGCATGGGGAAAAACTCATCTGCTATCATTAATGACCATAAACATATGACAGGGCAACATACCGACCATCATCTGATGCCTGCTAGAAATAGTTTCGCATATGCATTTTCATAGGCCCAATTATATAAATAATAATATAATTATATAGTTTTTTTGTTTATATAATATATGCGTGTGTGTATGTGAAAATGTGTACACACACACACAAAAAATGTAATTATATATATATATATATATATATAGAGATAGAGAGAGAGAGAGAGAGAGAGAGAGAGAGAGAGAGAGAGACCCTATTATTTATATTATATTTACAAACTTGTATGTTAGATGCGATTAATAGGCTATATATAAAACAAATTTAATAGCCTACTAATAATTGTTTTATCTGTTTTTTGTTTTCCCACTATAAACAGCATTTGAAAAGCGCTTTAATTTTGGCACAGTAATAGATGGTTGTCATGGGCTGAACTTGTACATATGTATGAAGTATCGCCTCTGAAGTTAATTGTGTTTTCGTTTGAGCGGAGAATAGATTTCCTCTGTTTATTATAAGCATAAGGACGGATTTGCGTCACCGCGCGACTTGCGAGTTGAGATAAAGTTGCACAAATATTGAAAAAAGGAAGTGCTAACAGTCATTATAGAGTTCCACCTCTGCGAGCCGGAGGAAATAAGGGTCCTCTGCTGTATCCTTAAATACTAAAGCATCTTCTATTTCTGGCCTAAATCTAGCAGGAATATCCGCTCATTTAGCCTGAATCACAGCTCATCAAAAACAGGATGAGTTGCGTCGAGAAACTCCCAGAACAGAACACACTCACAAGAAGGAGACTGCAGACTGTGGAGCATTCGAGTTTCAGAGTTTGTTGTTTGCATATTTATAATAAAAAAATAATAATACAAAAACGTGGTCAGAACTGTTGCGAATGCATGCAAAACTCGATATTGATTTGAATGCATGATTTATAACCTATAACATTATATTAGTTATCTTTAATGTGTTTCTAAAATCATAACATTATTATACAACTGTGCAACATTAAAAAACAATCTTGATCTCGCTCTCTCTTTCTGCATGCATATACTGTATATTATGCATCCCATGTAAACTAAAACTTATTTGCTAATATAACCAGGAACTGAAGTATTTATTTGCATATAATAAATCGTTGCATTATAAATAGGCCTACATCTTCACGTGCAATATCCAGTATTGCAATTTAATTCCAATGGTTGCATGTTTTGCGCATTCATAAATGCGTTGGTTTTTAATGGACGTGCTCTCGGTCAAACTCATATTCTGTGGGGCGTGTCGAACACGTCTGTCAACTTCCATTGGCTCAGAGAGAGCCAATCAATAACAGAACTCCTGCTAGAGCTGCTCGGACTCCTGTGTGGAGTTTCATACTCGAGGAGGAACGCGCGAGAGAGTTCAACTCTTTAAACTCGACTGCGCATGAGCTTCTCTGTCAGGAAGGTTTGGCTTCTCCTGCCGGGATGTACACGACGGGACTCAACCCGTTTTACGCATCGAACTTTAGCCTTTGGACCGCGTACTGTTCGGGTGGTTTTGGGGTGGATAGCATGAAAAAGCCCTCGTTCTGCATTGCTGATATTCTGCACGTCGGAGATGCGGAAAATATCCCCGGTTCGTCTTCGCTTATGGCTCATATTGGGGCGCGCGCGTCCGGGTCTCCCCTGCGCCCGTCCCCGGTCACTCCAGACGCGCGCGCGTATCACCGGCACGGAATACACTTGACATCAGTGTCCAGATCCCCCATGCACGCGCATTCCGCGCCCCCGCCGTCCAGCAAAGACCTCAAGTTCGGGATTGATCGGATATTATCCACAGACTTCGAGCCGAAGGCAAAAGATGCGCCATCGTTGAGAGGTAAGAGTGTTTTTATGAATCAGTTTTTTTTTTTTGTGAGTGTATCACATCACACCTCACTTATGACAAGAGGACAGAACAATTAGATTAATTTAGAATATAGTTATAATCATATAGTGAGCCGCAAAATGGTCCTGCTTTAGACGCGTCCATCCTAATATCTGTGGCGGTTATGGCCCTGTTTATGCAATTAATACAATTGGAATTAGTTGAATTGTTTGGTTTTTGTCGTTCTGGAACAGATCTCACATCGATTGTTAGTCTGAATCGGCAGTCAGCAGTCCATGTGTCTGCCAGCCCGTACTTCGCGTCCATAGACGAAACCTCCTCCATGATGGGTTCAATAAGCAGACAATCAGGGCAACATCAGTTTCAGGACTCCTTCCCAGGTAGTGTAGACATCACATCCCAGCTGAGCCCTAAAGAGGGATGAAACTTTAATCCCTGCAGTGTCTTCTTTTGCTCTGAATGCATGTGAATGCGGTGGTTATTTCGCACATGCACATATGATTCAATAACACGCACTCTGGTCAGTTATAAAGCCATCGCATGATGCGTTTGTCTAAATTGCATTGAAATGCCCGTGTGTTCTAATGGCGCGTGTTTTTGCCTCAAACAGGGCCGTATGCAGTGCTTTCCAAAGACACAATGCCACAGACCTACAAGAGGAAAAGATCCTGGTCCAGAGCCGTGTTCTCCAACCTGCAGAGGAAAGGCCTGGAGAAGCGCTTCGAGATCCAGAAGTACGTCACGAAACCGGACAGAAAACAACTGGCGGCGATGCTGGGCCTCACCGACGCACAGGTGATCCTCCATTATTAATAATAATCACATTTATATATACAGTAGCCAACAATGAAGTGGATCAAAACCGTTCATCAAAGTTATACATGCATTTTGAACAATACCCGTTCTAGGACAACTTTTTTGATCCACTTCAAATGTTGACTAGGCTACTAATAAATAAATAAACATTTTTTTTTTTTTAAATAACGTTATTTGAAATTTATGATACGATACTGGCATAATGAAATTAACTTGAGACGGCACGGGCCATCTGGAGTGCTCGTGGAAAAACTGCAGCATTGCGACACACACATTTCTACAGAAATGAAAGTCAATTATAACGAATTATTGCAAATAGAGGATATTGCAGTCGTTTCATTTCAAAACAGCCTAATTTAAGACATTGGGCAAGAGTTTCTGTCTTGTTTTATATCGGAAATGACACGACAAACAGCATGAGGAATGCGATAAGAGTTTCAAAACTTTCCAGTAATGTTTGGAAACTGTCTGAATCTCTGCCTTTAAAAAAGTAGCCTAATTTCACTCGGCATTTCGATCAAAACCTTTTGATTTATGGTTTGTGCATGCATTTTGTGTTAGCTATAATTGTGTAGCCTATAGATGTAAATGCAATTAATAATGCACGTTGATCTTTAATCACAAAAACATCAAAACTGCATACAATAAATAATAATAATAATAATAATAATAATAATAATAATAATAGGCTACATACATTAAAAAAATGCTGGGTTGTTTCAACCCATGCTTGGACATTATTGGGTTTAAAATTTTAACTTAAAAATATGAACCAAAAATATTAGCCAATTAATATTTGATCCAAACATGGGTTAAAACAACCCATCATTTTTAGAGTGTATAAATTGTATTAAAATAAATACATTAACTTTATCTGCACAATAACTTTATTCTAGAGCTGCTGTAAAGCCAAAACAATCTCTGTTACTTTAATTTCCTATTATCACTGTAAAGCTGCTTTGAAACAATATTGTTAAAAGCGCTTATAAATGAAGGTGACATAAATCCATACATTAAATATTCTAGTATAGCCTAATAATTATTATAACCTTGTTTTAGGTAAAAGTTTGGTTCCAGAACCGGCGGATGAAATGGAGGCATTCCAAAGAAGCGCAGGCGCAGAAGGACAAAGAGAAAGAACCGGATAAATCCACCGAGACCGAGCAGAAAGAGCGCGACGACTCCGAGTGCGAAAGCGAACCGAGCGAGTCCGAATTCGAAGACAATACGGAGGACAAAAGCGACGTGGACATTTCTGACCTCAACAAAGCCAGTGTGATTATTCCCGGAGCTCCGACTGTCAGCACGCAGGACACAACCAGCACACACTCCACGACAGAACCGAGTCCAGCCACACGAGTCCTGCCGGAACCGAGTCATCTGAAGTGAACAAACACACGAACCTGCCAGAACCGAGTCATCTGAAGTGAACACCTTAAACACACGAGTACTGCCGGAACCGAGTCATCTGATGTGAACACCACAAACACACGAGTATACTGCCGGAACCGAGTCATCTGAAGTGAACACCTCAAACACACGAGTACTGCCGGAACCGAGTCATCTGATGTGAACACCTCAAACACACAGCGTCTGACGGGACAGAGACATCAAATACAGCACACACACACACACACGCAGGCCTTCTCGAGCCATCGGTTCATCATGTCTTCCATCGTGAAACAGGCCCTTCGTGATCCCCGAGGAAGGAAAGCATCGCTCTGCTTTAACCGAATCGCTCGTCTTTTTTATGACGATTTTGGAATCGAATGTTCATGAATTAAGACTTGATTGTATTATATTTTGTCTGTAAGTATTTGCACTGAAAATGTAAATAAACATTTGTTACTAATATCCCACGTGTATTTATGGAAATTCAATAACTATTAACATCCAATAACATCCCAAATTCAATAGGCTAACGAATATAAAAACAGCGGATGCATTTAGAATTTCGTCACTTTTTATGTAGCCTAACTAGGCCTATTGTAAAAAATTAAATATCGCATAATTATAATAATCGCCTACATTATTATTATGATTCTTATTTACATCATTGTAGGCATATATACCCAAGCATTTAAATAAGAGTTAATTGTCTATCGTGAGGAAGGAACGATAGACACATTGCAACACATTTCTCACTAATAATTGTCGGATGTTGAATGGCAACATTGCATAATTTACGACGAAGACATTTTCACAGGTTTGCATGAGATTAAAGATTTGAGATTTGCATTTCATTTTAAACATCGAAATTGTGAAAGTTTTAAAATAATTTAAAACTTAAGATAAGATGCGGGGAGGGAGATTGGGGCAAGTCGACCGTCACATGTTCGTCTTTTGTTTATTGCAATAGTGAATTCTGTCATCCAAATAAAGATTCAAAGCATCATTATAGGGTTTAAGTAAACAACTGAAAACAATAAAACCCCAGTTATGCATTAAGAAAAAGGAGGAAGGCTGTTTTAATCCGTATTTATTACTTTTTTTTAACAATTAGGTTAACTATATATATATATAGTTAACCTAATTGTTAAAAAAAGTAATATATATATAGCCTATATAACTATTTATATATATATTTTTTTGCTTACCATTTAGTTTTGTTTCGACACAATTTTGGGTAAAATATGGACAACCCCAAACGTTGGATTGAAAATATAACCCAATATAAACCCGTCTGGGTTTGTCCATATTTGACCCAAAATTGGGTTAAAACAACCCAGCATTTTTTTTAGAGAGTAACTGTTTTAGTTTAGATTTAACTGCAAGCTATTAAATAGCCTGTTCACAAAAAAATCTAATAAAATCGAAATTACTTTTTTTAACACAAAAATATGATTTAATATCACTGTAGCCTAATTAATGAGTTCAATCATGTAGAAATAGCTCTTTTAGGTTACTATCATCTCTTTTACAGTATAATCCAGATATGCAGCATATCTCGTGTGATAGTTTCCCCTGTGTGTGTGTGTGTAACGTTGACATCATAAGGCTGTGATGGATGCTGAAAGCGTCGTCTTTTGGCCTCCAAGTCCTTTTTTGAGTCAGGTTAATGTAATTCTGCCAAGGCTTTTCGCCCTTAAAAAAAATGTGAGCTGGGTGAAATTTGGCGTCCAACAATAAACAGAGCGCGAAGAGCCTGGATTTATAGTTTGTATACATTCGCTGGCTCCAGATATCAGCAACAGAGCGGATGAGTGTGTTTTATGAATGTAGGTTCATATCTGCGCATCAAAAACTACTCCATTTATGGACTCTGGCTGTCTAAGCTACACTTCACATGCCATGTAATGAGGCGACCTGCGTAATGTCAGGGTAAAACTATTCCAGGATTTACACAATAATCCATCCAGAGATATTAGAGCTTCGTGACATTACTATTAGTGTATATTTTACATCTTCAGATGAGTTATTATACGTTCAAGTATTGCAAAAAAAAAAGGGTTTCTCTGGACACATGGTTTATTAAAACTCACGGCCTTTGATAAAGAGACAGGCGGTTTACATAAGTTTGATAACAGAGAGTTTATGTAGTTTAATGAGTTCTGTTCATAAACTGATAAGCGCAGCTACTGCAAGATGAACATTCATAAATACCATATTCATATTAACGGTTCTTGTGAGTCATATTAGAAGTGTTCAAGTCTATAAGCAAGCACAGGCCTGCTAAGGGCATTA